CCCCCCCCCCCCCCCCCCCAAAAAAAAAAAGACGTTTTTTGATATTTTTCTTTTTGCTATGGGGTGGGGTTGGGGTTCTGAAACCCCAATCCGCAATTTCCCCCCCAGCAACCCCCCCCCCTGTTCCAGCCGCCACGTGCCCGTGAAAGTCATGACCGTTGCAACCGGGGTTCGGGGGAATTCATAGCTATCGACCCATAACTGTTCGACCCCTTAAGTACCACCAACTGGCCACTGCTTTGCCCATAATGGAGGATAGTATGAGAGAGAGAGAGGGAGACATACTTGCGAAATTTATAATTGTGAAGATGTGGGAGCAAGGATGCATGCAAAGGGAGAGCGGTCGAAGGGCTCAGGTAGGCCATAGTGACGCTGAAGAAGGGGACCGTCGTTGGTCGAACCGCGATGTGATGGATCAGATCAATCCTCATGTGACGATCTTATCCTTACGGCAAGGTCTGCTCGTCAAGATCGTATCGAAGTTGACGTGAAGGCCATAAAGTAACTTATGAAATATGGTATGGGCAGGGACCAAGATCCAGCGGGATTGAGAGAAAGAAAGAAGGGATAAAGGAGGGAGAAAAAAACAATCATGATTGTTGAAAAAGGCATGGAGAGAACGAAGGGTGGTAAAAAGAGTGCATGCAAATGCGCGCGTAGAAGACAAATAATATTTTCGTTCTTGCACACTTTAACATTTTTGTATGTGTACAAGACCAATGCTTGCAAAATCATCATTTGTTTGTTTTCCACACCCAATCCAAGTACCTCAGGTCAAAGCGTAAGGACTCGGAGATGATTGGGGTGACTGGTTTGTAAGCATCCTAAAATTAAGTAAATATAATTGTCCTTGCGTACGTATTCTACCCTGAGCAGTTGAGACCAACATGTATGTTTGTCGTCATCTTTCTTTTGTGGCAGCCATGTGTATCTAACCTAGGGAGGAATATCTCTTATGCCACTACACAAACTTATACTCCATTATTCTTTTGGACTTTGTATACCACCATGGGAAAGAGGAGGAATGACACTTAATCACCTAGTCTCCTTTTCTGATTGTGAGACAAAGTTTAAGTGTCGTCGGCCAAGTTAGCGGGATGACATCTAAGAACACCTGGAACTTAGCTGCTTTGTCTTTCACTTTTCTCAAGGTTGCAGCAATTTGTTCAATGTGTTTCTGAAGTCCTAGAGGACTTGGTTCAATAAATGAAAAGGAGATCCAGGGGGAAATCGAAAAAGTGGAGCGTGGCCGATCAACCGATACGGTGATAGAGCCAGGCGAAAAAGATCATTTCAGTGACGCCTTCGGCCCACAACCAATGGATGTTGATGACCCCCCAGTCCCCCCCCCCACGCCCGTCCCCCCTGGACATAATGCTGAATGACAAGGAACCCTCGAAACATGTTGCAGCCCCTCTGCTGATGTGTCAATAGAGTAGAAATTAAACGCGATCGCAGACTGGCTTCTAGAGGGCCTTTGCTTCCAAAATATGAGGGCAACCCTCGATTTTTGGGACAATGTTTACATCCAGCTGTTCAGCATGTTAGATAGCAACCCGCCCCTGAGATCAGTTCTGGAATCAGGCTCCCCTTCACACATCACCTGGGCTGAGGTATTTGAGCGCATCAGGCAAATCACTTACTTGCATTTTTGTCCCACGTCAGACGGGGAATGGCATGACCCTCACAATATTGGACAACCGGAGGGGGGAGGGGGGGGAAAGGGTCCCAGGTGAGTCGTAACCGCCCCTGGTAAAGGGAAAAAAATTAAGGAAGAAAATTGTGATGACTTACCCTGCCGTTTGAAACTAAGAAATTTGGTGGAACGGGGCCAATATGAGAAACCGCTTTCACAGTAGAAGGGGGTGATAGCCATTCCTTTGAGAGAGGGCGGGTGAAAGGATGGGGATGGGCCTTTCCCCCGTCAATGGGGAGCTTACCCTCCCTGACTGGAAATTTTATAACATTTGGTCCCTCCCTTCCTTGAGAGATGAAAACTTCGCTAAAAAAATGCACCCTTTCCATCAGGAGTCATTATCCAAATGCGGCGGCAGCTACCCTCACACAATTCGGGGGCTTGATGCGGGTCGCTAATACAAATCTCTACATTTTTTTTGAAGAAAGAAAGGACTTTGGCCTTATGTGGTACAACCATAGTGAACTGATAGACCTTCAGACTGCATGAACTCAAGGCCAACCCGTTTTAATCGAAGGAGGACTTGCACACTTTCCTCACCAGGATTCTTAGAAACGAGTTGTTATGCACAG